TGCATCATAGCACCTATCAATTGCATTGAAAGCTAATTATAGAAAGTAGAACGATCCAATTAATTACAAGTGCTGTTAACGACGACACAATTTTCTGTACTATTATCTTTTACATCTCTTGATACGCGTTGGAATTTATTTAGAGTGTGATTTTTGCAAATTAGAAAATTACCGGCAATGGAAAAAACTTGGAGATACGTATGCACCATGATGACCCATCCCAAGGAGAACACTCGAAGACCGTGAAGACAAGTCAGACTATCTTTAGCCGCAGGCTCAGTGCTAATGATCTTATTTCCGTTGACGCTAGGACTGAATGCGAGCAAGCATTTCAGCCAGAATCCTGAAAAAATAACGGCAAGGATGGAATGTTAAAGAATTTCAAGATATATCCCGCGCAAGAAGGCGCGGTCCGCTTTTTCGCCGACAAAAACGTTCAAAGAATGTCAATAACCTTTATCGTTATCCTTCTCAATAGAGTTTTCTTTTTGCGGATACTTTGTCCCTTTTTCAATTAGTTCTTCGCCATTTTCCTGTCCCGTTGAAATCCTACGGTCTTTGTTTAGATTCTTGTCTACGAAATTGTTGCTCTTGTCGTTGTTATTTGACGCGTTCGAAGATTCGATGTCAGTTACAAGAGGGAAGGATTTATATTCGTACACGGTCGCACAAATCATCAGCACCAATATTATACCACCAATAGCCCTGAAATATGTTGATATATACATGATACATAATTTATAAAATTGTGTTTCTATGTTAAAAATATTGCGAAAAAGAGATAAAATTAAAATAATAAAATGTTTTCCATTATTTTGTGAGAGATAATTGAAAAATTGTGCAATTGTAGAAAGTGAAAATATATCTTCAGGAATCGTGAGAAACATTTTTCTCAACGATCTGTCACGTAATAAGATTACATTTGCGAGATTAAATGTGTGGAACATAAAATTAACACATTTAGCTGAAGTAATCGCAAGTAAAAAGACTAAAAGACTGTCTACACAATTGTAGAATCCGTTGTCTTTAGAGGTGTTTAGTTACGGTTTCACACCTGGCTTATAAAGTGGAGGGCGCTCTATAGTCGAGTGTCGCTTTTGTTCATTGTTAACAATACTAACTTCTGCTTTCGACGCTCAGGTATTGTGTATTATAGAAGAATGTTGTTACTGTTTATACTTAATGCGGCCGGAAATTCTGCAAATCATTCTATATATCCATCATCCAATGCGTTAATGTTTTTTTTCTCTAGAAGTTTATAATGCTCTGGCTACATTAATTACGACAAAAACGTATATCATTGACGCATATGTAATTATGTTAAGTGTTCTAGTTTTTGTACAAAATATTTTAAAAAATTTGAAATTTTTTGTAGTAAATATGTGGTGGATTTATTTGCAGATATAAATGTTATCGGATTGCGCTAAATTGCATAATTATTATTATACATATGTTTTAAATTAGAGGTTTACATTTCCATAATCGTGAAATTTGATTAAAGTATGTTCGGAATTGCAATTTACAATTCAAATCTAAATTATTATAATAAATCTGGGCGAATTTTCCATCGATTCGATTAATCATGATGGACGTGAGTCCACTGACTATTTCGCGATGAAAAATTGACATCTCCGTGCTTCATTACGGAATTATGTCCGACGTGATATTGAATTTCATATTGAAGAGTAACGTATAATTGAAATTATAATTGATAAACGCGCTGCAGAGTAATTGCATGAAAATTTTATAACATTTCTACATTTTATGATTTACAGTCATTTATAAATCGATTTTCACTCAAGTTGATTGATGTGCGTTATCGGAAATTACTGTCTTTTGAAAGATTTGAGTTCATTATTTGCCTATAGTATGGCGTGGAATTACTTTGTAAAAGCATTAAAAAGACAAATAAAAAAAGCTTTTTATATTGTTATTTTAAAATTTTTATGTTTTATATATATGATATTACATATTATATATTTCATATTTCATATATTTAAATATATTATAGAGTTATGCATTTTATTGTACAGTATTAGGAATTGTTTAATAACGTATTTCTCTCACTTGTGTATTTCCGCATCATTTGCCATAACAACACGATGAAATATTGAAGTGGACGGTAAAGCGGATTCGAACAATGAATTTCGCAGTTTCGGATCGTGAACTTCAAGGATTTTCGAGGCTAACGGTCGAAGGAACTTCCGCTTTATATCTTCTTGTCAGCTTTAAATTATTATTCTTGTCGGCAGCGAGCAGAAGAGTTTTGTGAATTCCTTTTTCCCCCCATAGGAACATTTGTGAGGCTTGAACGCGGTTTTCCACGCGAAATAGAATGGCGACAGGCTTTTTTCTTTTTTTTTTACACCCGACTTGTTTTAACACGTTATTAGCCGCAAATCTCGACGAGAAAGAAGCAGAAACGATCCGAAACAAAGAAAAGAACAAAAGTTTCGTAAGCGAAGTTCTACCGCGACTTTTTCTTCATTTTCCTCTGTTTCTTCGTCTTCCTTACGTGCCCCGTATTTACGCTGTCCTGATTTTATCCTTTGACTACAGTCACCACTTAAACTTCCATTCACTAAGAGAGCTTTTTTTCTCACTTTCTCGAATAAAGTTTCAAGCGTGCGATGAAATCAATCATAAGCACGTGTCAGCCGCCTCGAAAGTTTTAATGTATAAGCACAAGTTTTTATAAATATGAATCTTTTTGTCTGTAATTTATTCGTAATACCTACGTAATTATGTATTTTATTTTGTTTTAGATGTAATGATCGATGGAGCGCATTCGGATTCAGGTTCTTTTGCTTCAGATCGTGGTGCAGCTGATCGAGTGAGTCAGTTTAATATACTCAATTTATTATCGTTTTTATATTCTCGTTTGGCGGTTATTTTACATCTATAAAGCGTGAATTTTATTTTTTGCTCTATTGCTGATATTATCTATTACTTTGATGAAGCACCGTGAAAACTTTTTTATCTCGCGACTATGTAATTGCACGCACCTTAACACCAGTATATTAAAAGATTATTTTGCATTACAATCTGATGACGTATCACAAGATTACAATACTTGTGTAATATACCCATACATGCGAGATCGCATAAATTATATTAAAGCGAACGTTAAGAGAAAACATTTTTTTTTTCAAAATAATACAATTAATGATACTTTATTAAAATTTTTATACGTGATAAACAAGATATGTATGTTGATATAGTTGCGCACATCTGATGATTTCCATTTCCGTAAATAATTTAATTGACCGGGTCCGAACATACTCCGGACATGATTTGCATTTGGTAAGGCCCGCATTCCGCTGGAATGCAGACGATAGCACGGATACTTTCACGTGTACCGGGGGCTTTCTATATTCTTGCGTAATACGTCCACTGCATGCATGCAAGTACGCGCGATGCATGGCCAGCCGGTGTATAATTGCATGCTGGACATTACGCCGGTCTCTTGAGGGTTAGCTCCTTAACTTCGCGTGATTAGCAATCTTTTCTTAATTCCGACAGATTGCTTATATACATATTATTTCTATATTTATTTAATGTTTCAGTAATAGATTTTTAAATTTAATTTAATCGACTATTCAATTTAACAAAAATAATGCACAAGATAATTAAAGTAACTTGAAAAGAATATATTTTTTCTATAACACAGTTGTACTGTTTGAAGTTTTATTGCAATTGTTGTTAGTATTAAAAAATGAACTAGTTTTTACCGCCATGTTTGCCAATCATATAGCAAACTGCAACTGTGTAAATATTATCTTGGGCTTGTGTGCGAACGCGACAGACAACAGATAAGTATTACTTAAACTGCGTTTGAGGCACCGAAGCGTTAAATTAAAATTTAAAAGACCACATATGGTGATCGATCATGTGGCTTATAGATGTAGCGCAATATATGACTGGCGTTATCTAATAAGATTTTTGAAGAATTACGCGCTGAGAGTTATGACATATTGCAACTAGGAGGATTATTTACGACCCACATATTTCCTTTTCATTCCAAGCAACTTGGTAAACTAAATTTGCAGACATCTTGAGATTCAGGTCGCAATATGTTATAGCTTCTCTGTTGCGCAATGTCATATATGTTTAATCTAATATACTTCTCGTATGTTTCTTTAATATTATACTGAGACATCGTAGAGATTTTATAAACGTACACTTTAACATTTATTTAAATTTAATTAATTTAATTGCTTTGAAAATTTTTGTTTTTGTTGGATTTTATATCTTCTCTAATTAGAAATTAAAATCGTTATTTAGCGTAACACGTTATCATAAATAATATTCTGGAGCAGATATATTATATTTTTGCATGAAATATCCAACGCTTGGGAAATATTACATTAATTATTAAATTGTATTTGTTTAATCCACAATTTTATAGTCCGTGCTTTAGCATTGTGAATCAGAGAAAGAAAAAGAGAGGCCGTGAGGTAAAACAACTATCGATTCAGCGGAAATTTAAGACTATAATAACTTAACGTATACGTCGCGTTGCTGCTAGGAGCTTTATTTATCGCGTTTGATTTATCAGTGTTGTTTTAGGTTGCACTTAGGGAAACTATGCCAAACAAATTTTTCATTTTGCTTCTCGCCATGCTTGAAATGCTTCGAAGATATTTTATGCTTCAATAATGAACGCGAGTCTACATCGTCGTTGTTTAAACGCACGATTGTTACTTTCGCAACGTAATAGTACAGTTAGTTAGATTTGTTTGCACGTACCGCGAGAGTTTCGATGCATTTTTATTTATATCGTTCGGGTCGTTTGAAATTCGTTTTGTAACGAATTGGAAAATGGCGCGTATCTAAAAACTGTGAAATTTTCGTTAGTAAATTTGCAAGAACCGGTCTTTCTGTGTCGACACGGAATAATTTTTTTACTTTTTAAAATTAACATGAACCGCGAAATCGGGTCATTAGATTGTAACTCTCCTTGGAAGTTGTACCACGCAATTTCCCAACAACGCTGGACAATCCCGCGTCGTTGTTCTCGTTATTTTACTGTTGTTATGTATTACGCGCAAGGACGCGTTGCATCTGAAACAGTAGTGCATTTGTAACTAGAACGCTTTGAGACATCGTTGGATTCAAAAGACTGTACTCTAGTATGTCAGAACTTTCAAATCGACGGCAATTGACAACAACGTTCTCTTCTAGGTAATATAAGTGATTATTCCCACGTGCGTCAGCGATTGAAAAACTAATTAACCTGCTTTTATTAAATCGATATTGAACGATTTTATTATTCAGTTTAATAGCTTAAAGTAAACGATAAAATGTAACTAACTAATTCGAACTTAAATTATTTAACAAAAATATACGAATTAACACACTGCATTGAATTGCATTGTCTAAATTATAAAAAAAGTTATAAAAAATAAATTATAAAAAATTATTTAAGATAATTGTCTCGCAACAATATGACTCAAAAATGAATTTCTATTACAATTGATCCAAATTTTCACTATATCTTTATTGAAGTAATATTTAAGCGTCCTGCAAGAAAAAATTTACCTTTTAGAAGCTGAGATAACTGCAATTATATTTAGTACAATACTTTTAGTAAAAGGTACTAAAAGTGGCCCTGCAAGAAAAAAAGATTTACCGTTTAGAAGCTGAGATAATTGCAATTATATTTAGTACTTTTAAGCAAAAAGTACTAAAAGTAAATTTTTTTGCAGGACTACTTAAATATTAATTCAATAAAGATATAGTGAAATTTTGAATCAATTTGTAAAAAATTTATTTTTAGGTCATATTGTTGCGAGACAACTACTTTAAATTGTTTAAAATTTATTGATCGACGAATATAAAGTTTGTGTAACATCATAACTTCTTTAAATCGACTTAACTTTTTTGCAATCGACATTCTTGCTACACTTGATAAAAAATAACTCGTTGCTACATAAACTGATGCAATACAATAGCACGGATTCATGTAAAAACTCCGGAATCACCAATTGACGTCAGTCGCCGATTTTTTATCGCTGCATACGGTGAAATATGAATGTTTTATAATGCATTTCAAATTACGTAACGCACATCTCTTGATAAGGGGACGATTAACGTTCTGACGCCGAGGAAAAATATAATACTTTCTGATATCTTGCATTGGTGATTCACAAGCGTGTACCACTAATGGCCAGTTAAATAATGCTACGCTACTTTTACGCAATGGTTAATGCTATGTATACGTAATATTGTAATATCGTGGCAATTTTGTACCTGTAAATCGATCTTCTAACGATTGCGAACGGAACGTATGGTGTACCTGAGAAATAATCTATTTATGACAATATAATTATATTGTTGTACTTCGAGAATTGACGAGAATTTAATTTTCAATAGCGTTCGACATTCTTACTACACTTGGTAAAAAATAATCGGTTGCTACATAAACTGATGTAATACAATACACGGATTCATGTAAAAAATTGACCTGGAAATTACCGACCGCTAGTCGTCGATTTTTTATTGCTACATATGGTGAAACATATATAGCGTTCCAGTGTTTAGGATTATTCTTATTTTTTGTAACTAATGAACAATTAATCATATAATTTATAATGCAAGGTCCATTAAGAAAAAGAAATATTCATTATACAAATGACGGTTCTATGATCGCTATGACTGGCAACATCTTGTTTACATGTAAAATACGAAAAGGAAGCAGTTAAGATAATAACAGTGAATCGATGAAATATGCATTTCTTCAAAATGCATTCAACGGATTTGCAAAGCGCGGAGATCGCATGCAGTCTCCGCGAGATTGCATGCAGTTTATCGCACGAGATATAGAATCGCGATGAAATCCCGTTCTTATTAGGTGCAGACGATTTTCAACTGCAGGGATATGCGGTTTACATAATGTTTACGGCAACAGTCGAACGCGCATTACGGTAATGATTGCGATAATGGCCACGGAGGAATCTCCGAGTTGAATTAAAAAGAATAATGGTTACACGATGCGCGGTTGCATCGCACGTCTGTGCAATGACACTTGCTCAATTTTGTATTCGTGATACCGCGCGTTCATCGTCCAGCTGTTTGCGTTTGCGTCTTGTTTGCAAACGCTACCATATCGTATGAGCGCCATTGTGCAACAGCTGAGGTCGTAGCTGCAATTCTCTCTTCTCGATAGATGAGCGACAAGTGAAACGCAACCGCGAAAGTATGTTAAGCGACGTTTGCCACTGATTCCAGCGGCGAGTCGTCAATTTTTCTCCCGTCGTGCAAATTAGAAAACTTGGCGTAAAAGGAAAGGAAGGGTACTCTTCCTCCTGCCTGTTCCGCGTGCTTCTAGCGTGTCGCGGGGACCGTGTCAGCGGTAATGTAAACTTTGCTTTCTCGAGCATAGTTCAAAATTGAGAAATATTAGGGATTGAGTTAAGATCAAACCAACTTAACAAATAAACCAAGTTAAATTGAAAGCATTATATTAAGTAACAAACTCTTGATCGAGTTCGCGCGCAAAGTTGTTTTGTTTGTTTTGGCACGATCTGTTTGCTTACGTGAAATGTATACACGTAACTTATATAAGTTAATTCTCTTTATTTATAAAAACCGAATGTCCTTTTTATTCGTTATTTAATTGGGTATGCGTGAGTATATGCGAGTTAAATGCAGCGGTATTAGTTGACAATTGCATAACAGGAAAAATCTTGCAACAACGTTTCATTGCCATGATGTTGATGTATTGTGTGGCCAAGCTACGCTTACCAACGCGATACGCCCGCGGGCTACGTTTGCACGGGCTACGTTTGCACGGGCTACCTGCAGCTGTTAGGTGTTCAAGTGTACAACATACTTTCCGCACTTTCTTTCCACGGGTACACCTTGCACGCTTACATAACTGGCCACGTCAGATGTGCATTTCACGCGCGAGTATGTCGACCACGTAATAAATAATCGAGTGTGTCGCCAATCTCGTTCTATCGAGCCGATTAGAAAATAGCTGTTGTGCTCAAGCGCGCGCGCGCGCGCACAGCCAAAGTAGCAATTTTCGATCGGATAGCGGAAAAACGACAAATTGGAAGGCCAGGATTTCGCGTACGTGCTTTTCGGTAGGTTTTCGTTAACGAAGCTCGAACTTCAGATATATAGTCGAAATTCGATCCGTGGTTGGAATTGGAGTCGGTCCTATTGAACGCGATCAGTATATACTCGGTAGTGTTTCAATTTAGCATAGTTTCCAATACCTAAGCGAAGAGGGCTATTTTACTTTGCTTTTCTAAAATTTAATTGAATTGAAAGAAATCGGATTAAGATAATACGAGTTGCATTTGCATTGCTAACATAGTGTCATCAATATTTATTTTCTACAGGTAAATGAAAAATTCATGTGAAAAGTTCATTCCCATAGTCGTGATGTATTATTAAAGACCATAAAGTTCTTTTTTTTTCCCCCCGAGAATAAAAGAATGGAACGCTATAAAGTGTTTTAGAATTTACTAGGAACGTTTTTAAGGATTATTGTGATCACATGATTCCGGGATGCTTTAATTTCCCTGCGAATTATGCGAACGATTTTAATTAATTACTGTTAGCTTTCATTACAACTGTGCGCGTTTAATTACAACGTATTTTTTTGTTTACATTGTATGTTAATTTAAAAAGATTTGAAATTTTAAAGACGGAAACGGGTTTACTCGCAAAAATAAAATTTTATATTCTGTTGCGTAATATGTGATTACAAAAGTTCTGCTAATCGTACGATTATATCACGGATCTTAGCACGGTATTATATCTCGTGTAATGTGGAGTTATCCATATTTGTTTATCGAAGTGAATGTAAGCATAAATTACGCAAATTCCGCTGGAATATGAACATGGAGCAACGTTAATAGTAGCCATTAAAATCTTCTATCTATATATTTCATCATTTATAAATTTTATTCTTGAAAATTGGACGTGTTTTGTAAAAAAATTGACAAGACAGAATATTATATAATATTACATGTATCGAATTAATTGAAATTTTTAAACGAGCTTCTATTTTGAATATTAATATAAATGTTTTGTATTTTGAATATCGGATATTTTAATAATAATTAATTTTTTATTATAGAAAATTTATTTGTTCTGGTATAAAAATGATATGCATTATTTAGTTTGCAAAATTGTTCTTTCGAATAACACATTTATGTTCTAAAGAGTTGCATTTAAATTGAATGTAAATATTTTTATCTGCAAGAAATAGATTCTGTGCACGATGTTTCGGTTCTTTTTCAATATCGGTGGAATATCAACTTTGGTATTCAAGGATTCAAATAAAAGGGGAAGATACCTGCCTTCACCGAAAGTACGTCAAGTAAGTTTCATAAGTTTTGTCGGAGCATCGTGTCCTAGAATAAAATTTTCCAAGTCGCGCCGTTAGATAGCTCAAGTGCTTTGCTCACTTAAATCGCATGAATAATATTTTTCTATTATTCAAAATAATCTTATTTAAATTACTATCAAATAGTATCTCACATTTAAATATATATTGCATTTAAATAATATTATACATAGTGATATTTGTGGGTACGCGCGAAATGGATCCATAATCGATCGTTTCAGTGCGATCGCATCTTCTTGCTAGAATGCATTTGTGAAAATATTGAATTACCAATGAATGCAATGCAAAAAGTCATTCAGCGAGCCTATCGCCCGGTCAACGCGGCAAATCCGGGCGTCCGAGCAAACAATTTACGGTTCGGCTATAAGAGGATTTTTAGGATTACTCACGAGAGCACGTAAAATTTGGGATCTTGCCAACCGCAGTAATTGCTGGATGGCACGGGTTTCACCGCAACAACGCGAATCTTCGGGCCGGTCGATCGATAAGTCGAATTACCCTCGCGTTCGACTCTATCAGCGCTGGCCCTTAGCATCGAGGTCAGGGATGTGCGATCGCATGTGCTTGGTAGGCAGAGACCCAAAAACACCTGACGTGTCTGGAAAGAGAATGAAATGGTATCGTTAGTGTGAAGTATTCTCTCTATTATTTTACGAAAGTTACTTTACTCATAATAAATTTTGCGAGAAGGAGTATCTTTTTTTCTTTGACATTTCGGTGCCTCCACTTGTTGTAAGAAAATGCCTGTCGAAAAAAAATACTGATGATTTACTGGAAGGTATAGTGACCGTTTATTACAAAAAAATTGTGACTGGCATGTTTTTTGAAAAATGTTTATATTTATTCCACGCGATCGTGTTGTTATTTACACGTTTTTACACAATATATGGAAAAAAAACGACGGATTTTTACTCTTTCGGAAAATCGGATTTAACCTGCCAGATCAACAGGATTCGCATAGTTGTGCAAAAATATAGCGACGACAATCGAGCGCGTCCAACGTTCGAGATTATAATCTTTATTTTGGCCGCGCCAGCCTATCGACCGCGCAGTGATAGGAATTTGTGGCTCTGAAATAACACAGTTTGAAGTTTTTCTATTTCGACTATCGTAGTGCCCGTACATTCAATTTTTTTTTCTCTTTTTTGCTTCTTTATTATTGTTGATAGAGCATGAGAACTTTTTTTAGCTAGATAACATTGCGATTTTATTGAATCTGAAAACCGGTTTTTTATAATTTAGCAACAATTTCCATGTTGCGCGAATCACAATCTGCAACCTCTGTGAAGTTGGCACCCCATTTTTAAAAAATCAATTTTTTTTTAGAGTTCTGAATGCACCCCAAAGAGTTCTAGAGTTCTCCATAAAATTTATAAATAGTTCCGGCGAATTAGACAAAAAAATCAATTATTGAAAGTATGGGGTGCTAACTTCACAAAACGTTATCACAAAATTGACGATAACAGCTTAATCGTCGGAAATAATTAAAAATATCATTAGAATTATTTGTAGAACTCTTGAGGTGCTACCCAGAACTCCAACGAAAAAATAAAATTCCAAAAAATTTTATTTTTATTGGAACTTAGAATATTTTCTTAATCGGTGATACGAAAAATAGCGAGAACTTTTTATATATTGGTCTGAGCGTTTCGAACCTTAATAATTATCGTTAGAACTCTTGAGGTGCTACCCGGAACTCCAATAAAATAATCAAAATTCCAAAAAAATTTCTCACTCTTCGGGACTTCAAAAATTTTCGATTGGTGATACAAAAAATAGCGAGAACTTTTTATATATTGGTCTGAGCGCTTCGAACCTTAATAATTATCGTTAGAACTCTTAAGGTGCTACTCAGAACTCCAATAAAATAATCAAAACTCCAACAAAATTTCTCGCTTTTCCTGACCTAGAAAATTTTCAATCGGTGATACAAAAAATTGCGAGAACTTTTTATATATTGGTCTGAGCGTTTCGAACCTTAATAATTATCGTTAGAACTCTTGAGGTGCTACCCGGAACTCCAATAAAATAATCAAAATTCCAAAAAATTTCTCACTCTTCGGGACTTCAAAAATTTTCGATTGGTGATACAAAAAATAGCGAGAACTTTTTATATATTGGTCTGAGCGCTTCGAACCTTAATAATTATCGTTAGAATTCTTAAGGTGCTACTCAGAACTCCAATAAAATAATCAAAAAC